TATAATGGAAATAATTTTTCAGCTGAGTATATTGGCTCAAAAAGAATTTTGTAAATAGGTTCAAAGGCAGACTTTGTGAAATTTCTTAAAGAATCCCTTAGAAACAATTCGGAAAAGCACAAATAAAATCATTCAAGTGACCATCTAAGAGTATTGTTCTGGGTGGGTAAAATGGTTTAGTGGTCAAATGTTCAAGCCTGATGATTTGAGATCCATCTCCGGGAGCCATGTGGTGGAAAGACCCCAACTCCTTCAAGTTGTCCTCTGACCTCCACATGCATGCCCTGCTTCACAACCACAAACATGCATGGAATGAAAAAAGAATTATTTTTCCAACTTTCAGATTTGAAATTTCCTCACTTGGAAAATTCCTTCACATGAATGAAGAAAAATTTGCCTAGATTTATTTTAACGATCATGAGAGATTGTAACTTCCTTTAAATTTTTCTTACCTGAGTTGAAAAAATGGCTCTTTTCATAATTGTTAAGTCATCTCGATCCAAGATGGTATTCATGTCAGGAATTTCTCCTCTGTGAAGAAAACAGTGTTTAAAATAAAAATGGTTGGCACTAGTTAAGTTCTTTCTGCCAGGCATATATAGCTCATTTATCATAATAATGTTATTTATTAAGATGTTAACACAGATTTAATATATGAATATTTACTATTTATTTGTTATATTAAGTCAATATATATTTGAACTTAAAATCCCCTTCAGTCTCAGACTGATGTATTAATGAGTATCCAGTGAATGAGAACCTGTGCACATATGCACACATGGTCTCCCATGTGCAAGCTGTTCACTAATATTGTCAAACAAAAGGTAAAAGTCTAGTGCTCAAATGACATCTTCAAAGGCTACAAAACTTCCATTATGTATAGAAGAAAATGCGTGAAAAGTGACTAAATTGGGCTGCGTGGATGGTGAAGACTTAGATGTTGATGTGTCAATTGTTCTAAGCACTTACCTCAATAACCCATCGTAAAGCTTCTTTCCAAACTTTTCCTTCAAGGAATGCACAGTGTCCCTGTTTGACACAGACAGATTTCTAATTCACATGCAATCACAGCTTTTCATTTTGATCTTTGGGGGCTTGAGTGAAAATGACCTCCAACAGCTCAGATATTTGAATGCTTAGTCCCTAGTTGGTGGAACTCTTTGGGAAGATTTCATAGGTGTGGCCTTGTTAGAGGAGGTATGTCATTGGGAGTGGGCTTTACTCTGAGGTGTCAAAGTGCCCATGTAATTCCTACCTAGCTCCCTCTGCCTCATGCTTGAGGATCAAGATGTAAGCTGTCAGCTGATGCTCCAGCATCACACGCCTGCCTGCCTGCTGCCTGCCTGCCTGCTGCCATGCTCCACACCATGGACTCTACCCCCTGCAACTGTGAATACTGACTTAAGTTTTTACTTTATATGCTGCCTTGGTTGTGGTGCTTTGACACAGCAGTAGCAAGGGAACTAAGACCCAATCTGTTGTGAAGGTGCTGTTGTCTCATTAGCATTCCTTAAAATTACAAGTATTTTTTTAACGCAGCCCCTCCGATTATTTCCCAACTGTCTAATTTAGCTTGGTTGAGAAAATAATCCAGGACTAAGGTCACAAAACATTTGAACAGCCTAGAGAGCTGGGATTCCTTTTTGCTTGCGGTAACTGGGGAATGGTTGAGAGAGGGAAGGGTCAGTGAACAGAGCACTTTAGTGAAATGTTTGGTAACTGTTTGATCTGGGCTGAGTGTAGAGGGAGTCCTTATACTCATCTCCTTGCTTTGGTATACATCCAACCCATCTTTAAAACCCCTAAGTGAACACGCGCTCGTTCTGTGGCTGTTTGTTAGAAAGTTTTCCTAGCACCGCCCACCGTATTACGGGCACTGCGCAGTCCAATGCAGCAGCTAGGAGGAGAGAGCCACACAGTATTTATGCGACAGTCGTCAAAGAGAAACCAAGTTCAAGGGCACAGCTCTGAGGTCGTACACTTAGGCAAAACTCCCTTTACATGTTGCTGGAGAAGGCTGACAAACGCGAGATTACCACAGCTGTTTCCGCACCGCCTGGCCCTTCAGGGTTTCCACGTTGAAATTGTTTGTCTTGGCAGGCATGATGAAAAACACCACCACAGTGACGTTGCTCTTATGCATCTGAGGAGGGTCAGAAAACACAATAACGTCACCTAGCAAAGATCAAAAAGCATCTGGCACAGGGACCGCAAGCCTGGAAAACAGTGTTTTCCTGTGTCACAGGAGAGAAAGAACGCCGAGCTCTGAGCCACAGCAGGAGCTGATATCTTTCCAAGACTTTTCTAACTGACTTCCAAGCAGGATATGTCAGTAACGAATATTCCCATATGTAAAATAGATCATAATAGCTACTCATGGTGTTTTTCTGTGGCTAAAGAACACATAGGGCCTGGCAGAAAAAAAAAATCAAAATTCGTTCTTTAAATGTTGAGGTCCAAAATTTAATGAGGATTTATTTCTCATTCTTCTTCTAACTCTATCTAATTTACTGAGTTGTACAAATGGACTTTTTGCTTGTTGTTGTTTCATTCCTAGATGGTCCATATGATGCATTTTGACTTTTAGGCCAACACGTAAAGGAATAGAGCAAACATATGCTTCACCCTTTGTTGTAGCAGATGCTGTGTGGGGTACTGTAAACACACAACTGACCTCTGCCCCTGTAACCACCACACACTCTAGATGTGACCCATCTCCTTCTACTGATACTAAGGAAGCACGGATTGTGTACTATTTTATCTGAGCACCCACAGCCTATTAGGGAAAAAGCTGATATTTAAACTGATACTTATTTTAACATCTAAAAATCTATGTTTTCTTGTTCTCTTCCACACATTCCTTAGGCATAACATCTCTCTCACACAAGGCAATGGCATATATCAAGACACTTTGGAGGAAAAGCCTAAACTCAGTTAAAACTATGGACATGTGGATATCCTTATGGCCTAAAATGAAAGACTGTGTCCTGAGTTTGGGACATCTTTCCATAAGCTATGTGGCCTCTGCCCTCTGAAACCTCACAGTTCACTCAGGACATCTACAGAAGAGATGGGACTTGAAACTCACTGCAGGTGGCAGCCAATGTACTATCAAAGAGGCTACTACTATTGTGTTGCGTATTTTAGTTTCTTTCAGTATAATAATTATCTTTTCTCTCTAATTTAATAACAATAGGTTTTATTTACTTCATGTCTACAAATAAAATGAACATTTAATAAATGTATGGATTGGTTTATTAATAATGACCTTACACATGATGCATGTTTGATACAGTTATGAGCATACTTACAAAACATGCTTTATGGATATATGCCTGGAAAAATTAAAGCAGAATGATCCATTTCACTTTAATCTTTTTTGCACATGGTGTCATTATTGCTAATCACTTACTTATAATGCAGTTTTAGGAAGTCTTTCATCGTACATGGTATAATATTTTTGCTAAGAGAGGAAAAGAAGAACTATATTCCAAAAAACTTGGGGACAATAATGCAGAACTCAGGAATATTTAGATTGTATCAGTATCTTTTCCTGTTTGTTTGTTTTAACTAAGCATGTATGTGTGGGGGTGTGTGCACAAGGGCACAGAATCTGAGCAGGTCAGAAGAGAGCATTGGATGCCCTGGAACTGGAGCTACAGGAGACTTTGAGCCACCATGTGGGTGGAGGAACGCAGCTCCGAAGGAGAAGCCTGCATCTTCAACTGCTGAGCCATCTCTCGGACGCCCAATGTCTCTGCGTCTCGATAGCTCTGAACTTTCACACTCTTGTGTCATTTGTTTTTTATTTTAGTGTGATGGGTTTGGAATAGAAACCAGTCACTTTAATCAATAGCTATGGCTTAAAGCCATTTTCTACAGCTGTCTCCCTTGGCCTGGGTTTCTCTGCTGAATTCCACCTTTTAAGGCCTGCTTTCTGAGCAAAGGTAATATACTATCAGGGGTAGAACCTTCTTGATGTTTCCAGGAGGTGAAACCTTTCAGAGATGAACAGTTGGAGATCAGAGATAAACAGTTGGAGATCTGTCAACTTGGGGAGCTGGTGTAGATGATAAAAGCTGGGAGAAATGGAATGAGCAACATCTGTCCTATTCTGTGGAAGGCTAGTGCTATGAAACCTGACTGTTTCACATGCAGCAGGGCAGTCACAGCTAGAGCTATCTGGATTCGGGTTGTCGGTGTGATGCCAAGGGTGGTATCTATCAGGACACTATCATCACTCACAGGCTACATCTGGTTTGGTTTCTTCTTCTTCTTCCTTCCATCCATCCATCCTTCCTTCCTTCCTTTCTTTTTTCTTTTAAGTTTTCATGATAGTGCTTCTTTATGCAGCCCTAGCTGTGCTGGAACTCACTCTATAGACCAGACTGCCCTTGAACTCAGTGATCCTGCTGCCTCGTGAATTCTGTGATTAAATGTGTGCGTCAGCATGGCTTACATTTGGTTTCTAATAAATGGTCTTCAGCTTTTAGTTTGCTTGACACTGCTGTGTCTGTATTTTAAACTCCCTTTAAGGAGAGGGGCATTAAAACGAGTTTCTAACATATAACATGTATAGTACAAAATTGTGATTTTAAAGTGTACTTTAGGTCATGGATGAAGACACGTGTGAGTGACATACAACTCCAACATGTAAACTGAACAGGTTTCCAGAATGACATCATTTTCAATGTTTTGTTACATTTCTCTCCTCCTCCTCCTCTTCCTTCTTTTTGTCTCTGTCTCCCCCACCCCCCGTGTGTGTGTGTGTGTGTGTGTGTGTGTCTCTGTGTGTGTGTGTGTGTGTGTGTGTTTTCAGAGGGCAGCTTCTGGGGTTCTTTCCCTCTTTCCATCATGTGGGTTCTAGAGGTAGAAATCAGACTTGGTAGCAAGTACCTTTACTGGCTGATCCATCTTACCTGCCCAAGGTTATCATTTTAAAATACCAAAATCAAATTCCCTCTTGAAAGCTAGGTTCTTCACATCCCACAGCAGAGAGTCTGTGTGCCACGCCCCAGAGCTTTCTTACCCTTAGCAGGAAATTGAGCCTGGATAAGGATTCCAAGAAGATGTCAGCTCCTTTGTTTGAGAACTCATACCTCCCGGCAATGAAAAGGAATAAAGTCTTTTCCAGATCGAAATCCAAATGACTGAAACAAAACAAAGCAATTTCTAATAAAGCAGAACAACAGTACCAAA